CCCCCTCAAGCTGTAATCAATCAAGAAGATACCAAGGAGACAAAGGTCTAGCCCAAACTCTATTCAACCCTGGTGCCACTCCCTTCACTGTGTTTGAAGAGAGAGACAAAAACAAACGGCCCAATTCAGTTAGCCACAAAGAATGTTAACTATATGTTCATGATTAACTCAATTTCATCTGATAATCCATTAAAAATACACATCAGTGTGTGGAGAGATATATAGATAATCATTTTTATTTGTTTTAAGGATATATACAGATGGTTAAAAGGATCCAGTCAGTGGTAGGGTGGGGGCAGGGGTGTGTATCCCAGATTTCAATGTTAGAGTATGTACTCGGTTAACTGATTGTGTGTCAGTGTATGCGGCCGAGTTGATGGCCATGATTCTAGGTTTGAGATGGGTGGAGGAGGTGAAACCACTCAGATTGGTGATGTGCTCTGATTCGGCTGCAGTGTTTAGTAGTGTGGAGACGGGCAGGTTGGATAGGGGAGACTTGTTTGTGGAGATGATGGTGCTATTAATGGGATTGGAGAGGATGTGAGTGGTGGTAAGCTTTTGCTGGGTTCCCGCCCATGTGGGTGTGGAGGGTAATGAGAAGGCTGATGTGGTGGCTAAGAGTGCTGTAAGGAGAGGGGGTAGATATTCAGGTTCCGCTGATCCGCAGGGAAGTCAAGTCCTTGATTGGGGAAAAAGGGCTCGATCTTTGGCAAAGGGAGTCGGTTGCTAGTAGTAAGGGGAGGCAATTTTATCACATGCACCTGTCAGTAAAGGAAGAGGTGGGGAGTATGGGATGTAGGAGAGAGGAAGTTGTGTGGAGTAGACTACGGTTTGGGCACAGGTTTGACTGGCACATTGTGGATGATAGGGAGACATGAAACAGGTCTGTGTGATGAGTGTTTAGTGGAGGAAACGGTGAAGCATGTGTTGAGATGATTGTGGACTACAGGAAAAAAGAGGACTGAGCATGCCCCATTCTCATCGACGAGGCTGTAGTGGAACAGGTTGAGAGCGTCAAGTTCCTTGGTGTCCACATCACCAACGAACTATCATGGTCCAAACACACCAAGATAGTCGTGAAGAGGGCACGACAAAGCATATTCCTCCTCAGGAGACTGAAAAGATTTGGCATGGGTCCTCAGATCCTCAAAAAATTCTACAGCTGCACCATCGAGAGCATCCTGACTGGTTGCATCACCGCCTGGTATGGCAACTGCTTGGCCTCCGACCGCAAGGCACTACAGAGGGTAGTGCGTACGGCCCAGTACATCACTGGGGCCAAGCTTCCTGCCATCCAGGACCTCTATACCAGGCGGTGTCAGAGGAAGGCCCTCAAAATTGTCAAAGACTCCAGCCACCCTAGTCATAGACTGTTCTCTCTGCTACCGCACGGCAAGCGGTACCGGAGTGCCAAGTCTAGGTCCAAAAGACTTCTCAACAGCTTCTACCCCCAAGCCATAAGACTCCTGAACAGCTAATAATGGCTACCCGGACTATTTGCACTGCCCCCCACCCCATCTTTTTACACTGCTGCTACTCTGTTAATTATTTATGCATAGTCACTTTAACTCTACCCACATGTCCATATTACTCCAACTACCTCAACTAGCCAGTGCCCCCGCACATTGACTCTGCACCGGTATCCCCCTGTATATATAGCCACCCTACTGTTATTTTATTTTACTTCTGCTCTTTTTTTCTCAACACTTTTTTGTTGTTGTTTTAGTTTACTTTTTTATTAAAAATAAATGCACTGTTGGTTAAGGGCTGTAAGTAAGCATTTCACTGTAATGTCTGCACCTGTTGTATTCGGCGCATGTGGCCAATAACATTTGATTTGATTTGATATTTTGTGAACTGTATGACGTAGATAGGGAGAGATTGTGTGAAAGGGTTTGGGTGGTGTAGTGGGGGGAGGAAAGGGGTGTCTAGGGCTCTATTTCACTTTCTTGGAGGAACAGGACTAATGAAGAGAATTTAATGTCAGTAGGCCGTACTCATTTACATTTACGTCATTTAGCAGAAGCTCTTATCCAGAGCAATTTACAGTTAGTGAGTGCATACATTTTTCATACTGGCCCCCCGTGGGAATCGAACCCACAACCCTGGCGTTGCAAGCGCCATGCTCTACCAACTGAGCTACAGTATTGTACTCCAGTACAATAGGTGGTGGGGTATGCACCTTAAAAGTTGGATGTGATCTGCCCAACCCGAACCCAAACAAGAATAAGAAGGGCAAGCCACACCCATAATCCCATAGTCAAGATAGCTGCGACTCACAGTCCGTTAGTGTGGAGAAGCTAAAACTATAAATCTTGAACAACATTGACATGTAGTGAAAGCGAAGACTCCACAGATGGGATATGCTATTTGTCGGCCTGTGACCTACCATTATCGGTTCACAGCCCAGAGAATCAAGAAGTGACTTCGTTTGGTTCTTACGAACAAAAGTAGCCTATTGTTAATGTTCTCCGATAATGTTTATGCATGTCCTTATATAACTGCTCATTAAAAGCAGTTACTTTGGGGTGTCTATTTAGGCAGAAATCTACATTCTTGCCATTACATTTAAGAGGTTTTAAGCTAGCTAGTTATTGTTATGTTGTAGCTAAACGGGGAACTATTCAACATCGGCTTCCTGTTATAACAGCTAACGTTGTTTAAAAACGAAGATATCTGTGGTTATAAGCTTGATATGTCGCAAAACAGAAATGTGCCGTTGTTTTGGGGTCTGTGCTATTTGGAATGATTGGGGCGTCCATACCCTAAACCCTAACTTTAACCCTTAACCATCTTGAATTGTAACTTCAATGGTATGGACGTCCCAATGACCCCGAATAGCATGCACTGTTGTTTAGGTAGTGGCGACGCACTTCCTAGTCCCGTTGAACGCTATCATTTCCATGGCAACGTGCTCTTCCTTGGAAGCACGCACGGCGCAACAGGTCAACAGGCAGGGAGAGGACCAGGCCCCCAGTGTCCGGCCGTATGTTTTTGCCAGACATACTGGATTATCAAATCATAGACATACAGTAGGCCTACATCATTCGATCAAACACATTACCATTTTGTGTTGGCAACCCGTGTGCCAGTGCATTCAGCATTATCACATCGTCTATACAGGTATTATTGAAGCCCATAATAATCCAATGTACATTAGAATGAGTGTGATGAAGTGGGTTAATATTGTTTTCTGACTGATTTTCTAAAGTAATATTGTCATACACAACACTTAATAATAATACTTGTTATTTATTTCATACACTATTGTTGATGAATATGTTCCAGTGCACTCAACCATTCAACATAGGGAGAGACAATGACTTATAACAACATAGATGGTTATAATTTCAGCAGTTTGTAGACAATAATGCCTTAAATGCAGTTTCATCAAAGTTATGATTATATGCCTACAGCCCAATTACTTACTTTGTATAAACCATTCAGCCTTTAGCTGTGTGAGATCATTTTGTTACAGAATATCCATTGATTAACTCTTAAGGTTCTCTTTTGAGTGACTGATTTAGGTAGTCCGAATGCCAGACCTAATAGAGTGTGTTAGCCTCTTCTATTGTCAGGTCACAGGTCACCACCTCCTATTAGGGGGATGCTTTATTGCACTCATAAGTGAAGGCCATTCGACAATAGTAAGGTGCAACACATATTTTTCATTGGCAAAATACAATACATGAAGATGCACTATGCAGAAATCGCTCCACCATTTCCTGGTTGCTAAATTAAAATAGTTCGCCTAATTTTAGTTTATGTGACAAAACAAGCAAGTATAGTGTAGAGAATCAGTGTACCGTCTAAACTGCTGTGAAATATATTTTCCAGAAGCAAAAATATTGTATTTTCAGCTGGTGCACAAAACTGAAAGTAAAAGACGCAAAAATGAAACTTAAAAGTGGAAAGCATAGAAATAGTGCACATAGAAGAGATCTACCGCTAGACTCTATTACTCACATTTGTATGTGAATTTGTCGGGTCGCCCAAAAAGTTACACATTGCAGCTTTAATAATAGAGTAAATCTAAATAATGTAATAATCCACAAATAAAATAAATACAATAAAATACCCTTCCAAAGGAAATCCAGAAAAGCATTCAGAGTGACGATTGGAATAGTGGTGGTTGAGCAAGACCTGTGTCCTAATAACAGCTGGTTGTCTTGTACCTACACAGTCACCTCAACGCAAACTACCTGATAGCCTATCCAGAGCATGTTATATAGCCCTCAAACTCAACTCTGGACCTTGAAGCCAGTTCCACTGCATTTTTTCATTGTTCCCCTCTAATTAGAGGCTGATTTAGTCCTGGGACAATAGGTGTGTGCAATTAATTGTCAGGTAGAAAAGAACCAGCAGGCTTCGGACCTCGTAGGGTAAGAGTTGAGTACCCCCGTTATATAGCATCAAATGGCTGTTTGCTCCTCATTTGATAACCAGATGTAACTAACATCCTTAGCAATAAATATTTCATAAAACATCCTGTGACCTCACCCAAAATGTTGTTCTCCTAAAATCCCAAAATATTTTTTTTAGAATGAGTTTCCCCTACCAATTGTCCTCTAGTCAAACACGTACCTTCAACAGACTTGCATTCACAATCATCTCATACATCATGTTTTGTGTGTACAATATTTTAAAGTGTCACTCAGCTGCAATACCCTCTCAGGTAGTTACAGTTTGGCTCATATCTATGTCTCATCAAAGTGACAACCCTCAGGAAACACACACATTTTGAGGATATGGAGACTCAAAACTGAGTTGAGGTAAGGCACGGCATCCTCATCTAAAAAGAGTGCAATAGACATTCTTCTTGAGTGAGAATTCCTTAAAACTACCTAGTACAGTAAGAGGTGTGTTAAAGGTGGGAAAGATGTGTAGATATACAACTTATGGCATATCCATATAAACTTAGTTATAACACCTTAATATGAGGTAATATTAAGGGGACATACAAAATATCAGTCCAAAAGAGTCCATATTCATTTATCGGGTTATTTGTGTTGAAATGCAGTCTGCTGTTGCAATGCCTTCAGTTCTTCTCTTGGCTTCACAATGTAGTCTTTGTACATGGAATAAATTACGCCTGAAAAAAAAAGAGTGAAGAAAATGTTAAAAATGAAGATCATTTCCAAAACTGGTACATAAAATGACATTGTAACTTTGTACTGTAGCTGCTGTAACTATTACATAGGAAAGTGTACATCATTTCATACGGTATACTTTTTCATGTAACATAGCAACATAATGACGACATCTTCAGCGTGAGATGCTTTAAGACTTGTTTACACCTAGAATTTTTTTTAAAATCAAAATAGCTCTGTTTCCACATCCTGTGAGATCTGATCAGTATCCAAATCTGTTTTGGGACAGACATTTCGCCAGCAACCCCACAACACTGTGCTAAAATATTTCAATTTGGCGTGTGCCAGAAAACTGGTGGCTGCAACGTTAAATAACATTACAACCTCATCTGATCACAATGTTGACACTTGACACATTTAAATGTCATGTGTGGACACAAAGGTATTTGATCAAATACAGATTTCAAGTGTAATACCAGTGGGGTGTTCCAGAAAGCAGGATCATTACGTTACCAAGCAAACTTTGATAAATATAGCGTTTGATTTTCTAAATGATTTAGAACGCTTAACTTGAATATGGGTTGTTGGTTGTCGAGTCAATTATTTAAAATCTATATTTCTCAAAAAAATGTGGGACAGTTAGCTACCTGGCTTACTTATTGATCATGCTTTCTGGAACAGCCCCCAGGTGTCAACAGGGTCCAACAGCCTGTAATACTGTACATACCAATGGTCATAGCTCCCACCACGAATCCTTGGGCCATAACACGCATGTGGATAAGGTGCACTGACATCTTCATGTCTCCACGGCTCTTCAACTTGTAAAGTCTGTAGCCCACGATGGAGAAGAATCCTGCCATTCCTTAATAAAAAATAAAAACAAGTTAACTTAGTACAGAATATAAAGGACGACTGGGCATATAGGACAACAGCAATTGAATACATACAGTCAATATCTACATCAATACAACAATACAAAATAACAACAAATGTGCAGGTCCATGTCTTGCTTTCATTTGGTGATGTAACCATAAAGGTGCATGAAAAAACTATGATGGATATGGGATACAGGTGTGAGTGTGGGTGTGTGTGTGCTGTATACTACCAATGCTTTATACACACTAGATGACTGACAGGGGGCGCTGTTTTAAAGCCACTGCGCCTCCATCTTGGCAAGCCCCCACCAGTGTAAAAAATAGTTTAGAAGCAATGGGAATGTATTTATCAATGTCTACATTTGTTTTTGCAACGTTCTTTCTATTACAGAGACTTTAATGCATACCTTTACATATTATGTTAGCTAAAAAATAGTAATAATAATAATGTTTTCCTTAAAGTATAATTTGTATAAAGTTATAATGTTACTGTCCCCACTACAACAACAAAATATTTAATGCATATAATTTTGTCCTTTAAACATTTACTTGAAATACTGTAGGATTCCAATCATTCCTATGGAGGACTGCGTCTTCTGGGGAGTGCCAATATGGCCGACCGGTGGCTTCAAAGCCTCTCAACCGCCAATACATTGCATCAGCAATCCAGGGTTTATATACATAATTGTATACTACTCACCTATTGGGACAAAAGGATTCTCCTTCGCCTTTCGCATAAACTTAGAGTCTTCTTCATCATATGCAGACATCTTGGCTGAAACCAGAAAATATTATGATAATTACTCAGCGGTACTTAAATGTATAACATAAATCTACCGAACATGTTATTCACAATGATTGTCTCACTACATCAATGACACAGATAATGACATTAAATAGGCTATTAGCAGTCATATTATTGGAAAATATTGGGACATACTTATAGGTCTCAGTAGCCCTATTTGAGTTTGTAAAACCTACAACACCAAACGTAATCAATAACTTGAAGTAGAAGTTCAGATATCAGTAACATGGTGTTCTCTTAGAAAATACAGTAAAACCTCGACTTAATCTTTACATTAGAAATTATATCGGAGACTGTCAGGATGTAGCCTAATAGTTAATATCAGAGATTAAAACAATGTAACAATTTATTACTGAATAACATTATAATTCATTCATTTTGGCCTAGCTATATAAGAGTTACCATGTCGAGGACACTTTTTGAATGAAGGTCAAAGGGAACTTTTCATAGGAAATATCACTTGTGATACCCTACCTAAAGACAGCATCCAAAATAAGAACGAAAATGTTTTCTTACCGTTTTGTTTTGTCAAACTTCTATTGAAGATAATGGATCCCGAATGATTATGTGTGCGCTACACAGCAATTAGACATACGCACTGTCCTTACATTGAGCAACTCAAACAGCAGTCCAAAATTATGTAACATTTTCACACGCACATGTGACGTAGGCTGTCTTTTCCCCAATGAATTATCTCACAACTTTAGCCAAGAAAAACCCCTCAACCTTTTAAAATTAATTTGTTAAATCTCTTATTTATTATCCCTTGTTCATGGAACATTTTATTATGGCTTTCCCGGGAAAAGAATAAGCTCGAGCTGCAAATAAACTAAATCGTCCTCAGAAGAAAATCTACTCTATGAATAATTGTAGTTCTGGGGGGAATTACAAAATAGGTTTTGACAGAGCATATGCCTCCAAATAAAACGTGTTTAACTCGATGAGATACACATGTGTACGTATGTATTTCAAGGTCAGGTTATAGATTTATTTTTGAGCTACTTAAATTTTAAACGTCGTTTTAATGTTAACTGGAACGCCATTTCCCAGAGTGCAAAACTAAACGGGGGGGCGTGGTGTTTTCAAATTGGTTGGCTCATCCGATGTGCCAGCATGCACCACAACGTGCTAGAACAGAATGTACACTAGTCATTTTGGATCTCGTGCTGTGAATCCATGCATGAAATGATTATTTTAAACAACTCAAATATCTATCATAGGTTTATAGACAACTGACTAAAAACACAGTTGGTTAATGTTTTAAAAATGTGTTTAAAAAAATATATACCCTATCTATACATAAAATAGATTAAAGTTAGGTCTATAGAGTTATAGGTCTAGAGGTAAATCTTTGAGTCATTGAGTTCAAACCTAGCGTATAAACTGATCATTTAATTCAGATGTTTCCAAGAGGGTCTATAGTGAATTTTATTGCTTTGGAAATAGAGTTTCAATTACAACCAGGCATGTGATTGATAGGCTACTCTAAAAGGGCAAAACATCAACATATATAATATGTTGTGACATTTTTAAATAGAAATTGCTGATGGATAGTTAAAACAATGATATTAACTTATTCCACAAATATGCTGTCTGATAAGTTCAACAGATGCTGTATTTTGAGTTTCCATAAAGAGTTAAAAAAATCACAATGAGGATTTTCCATACCGATACGGAAGAGGTCATGACAAATACCAGGAAACAGATCACTACAGATGAACTGCTTACTTTGTCATACTCATAGTGCTTATTACTTTAAAGCAGTTTTTTTTATTGCTGGAACAGAACCTTTACTACTTGGTTTTAGGATTTCAGAAACACATTTTTTCCAGAGGTAAGCCTAATCTACCGCATGCATAAAACATCATACAGGAAAGTTGTTTCTTCTTCTTGATGGTATAACATCTGTCTGAAGTCTGTCTTTTACATTTCTCCTCCTTAGATACACAACAGGATAATGGATCTAAACATCGCAGAACTGAGTGATGACTATGATTACAGCCATTATTATGACTATGGAGATGAACCATTGGACGGCTTTGGACTTTGTGAAAAGGCACACGTCAAAGTATTTGGAAGAATTTTTCTACCCGTCTCTTACATCATAATTTGCACCCTCAGCATTATAGGAAATATACTTTTTATTTCAACTTTAATCAAATCCAAATATCAGAGGAAAACATTTCCTATGAATATGGCCATTTCTGATATGTTGTTTGCATTTACACTCCCTTTTTGGGCAGTGTATGCCCACGTTGAATGGATATTTGGCAATGATTCCTGCAAGACAGTTACTGTGATTTACATCACTACTTTGTACAGCAGTATCCTGTTCATCACTTGTATAAGTGTGGATAGGTATTTAGGTGTAGTATGGACTCTTTCCAGCTGGAACCACTGTACACCTATGAAAAACACCTTAGTGTGCTTTGTGGTGTGGAGCCTCTCCATCTTAGCAGCAGCTCCACATTGGACCTTCGTTCAGGAACAAGAGTTTCACGGTCAGAAGATTTGCACGTACCATTTTGGAGAGGAAAATCACTTGCCTCTGTGGAAGATTCTCATTAAATTTCAGCTGAATGTCTTTGGATTTCTCATACCTTTTCTGATCATGCTCTTCTGCTACCTGCGAGTCTGCTGTGCTGTAGCGAAGGTAAAAGTGGGACAGAGACCAAAGAGTCTGAAATTGGTCATGATAGTTGTTGTGGTATTTTTTGTGTTCTGGTTCCCGTTCAACTTTGTGTCCTTTTTACACTCCTTGCAACACTTGAATGTGATTTCTAATTGTGCCACAAGCCAATATCTGGATTTCGCCATTCAGGTCACAGAGGTCATCGCCTATAGCCATGGTTTTGTAAATCCCATTGTGTATGCCTTTGTCAACAAGAGGATTTGGAGGGGCTTTGCTAAGATGTGTGGGGGAAGATGCAGAAGAAGAACCAGTGATGAGTATGTGCTAGAGTGCTCCGACAGCACAGAGACCATGTCAGTTCAGAGTGGAGGAATAGAGTTACAAGCAGTTCAGAGCCACCTAGAGAATAATACTCATCAACCAACAAACACAGAGAGGAGAGAATCCTCCATAAGAGTTGAAATGGCTTAGCACAAATAACTGTTTACATTATTACATGCTAACTATATTGATTATTTACAATCACTCTCTATTTACAGTGTGTTTATGTCCTTCTATTCCTTGTATTCATAAACAGTATATCATTGTTCAAATAGGGGGGTATATTGGCAAGATACTGACAATAAAGATGTTTAATAGTTGAGCAGTTTTCTTGCTATCACACAGTGTACTGAAGAAAATGTATAAATAAAATAAAATCACTCAGCATACGTGTGACACCAGTTAAACCTCTTGGCTATGTTACAAGGATAACGACAAAGTGGTGTCCTCCCTTCCTGTAATTCATAGTTTCAATGCCAGTAAAGCATTTTTTGAAATCAGGGCTATGTACAAAACATTTTTTTTTTGCTTTGTCATGATGGGGTATTGTGTGTGGATTGATGAGGGGGGAAAAAAAACAATTTAATCCATTTTAGAATAAGGCTGTAATGTAACAAAATGTGGAAAAAGTCAAGGGGTCTGAATACTTTCTGAATGCACTGTATCAAGGTAGAGGATATCTACTGTATTCAAGGGATATACAGTACCAGTCAAAAGTTTGGACCCACCTACTCATTCCAGGGTTTTTCTTTATTTGTACTGTTTTCTACATTGTACAATAATAGTGAAGACATCAAAACTATGAAATAACACATATGGAATCATGTAGTAACCAAAAAAGTGTTAAACAAATCAAAATATATTTTATATTTGAGATTCTTCAAAGTAGCCACCCTTTGACTTGATGACAGCTTTGCACACTCGTGGCATTCTCTCAACCAGCTTCATGAGGTAGTCACCTGGAATGCATTTCAATTAACAGGTGTGCCTTGTTAAAAGTTAATTTGTGGAATTTCATTCCTTCTTAATGCATTTGAGCCAATCAGTTGTATTGTGACAAGGTAAGGGGTGGTTTACAGAAGATAGTCCTATTTGGTAAAAGACCAAGTCCATTTTATGGCAAGAACAGCTCAAATAAGCAAAGAGAAATGACAGTCCATCATTACTTTAAGTCATGAAGATCAGTAAAACCGGAAAATTTCAAGAACTTTGAAAGTTTCTTCAAGT